CTGGGAACAGATGGGGAGCCTGAGGCCCAGAGAGGGTGTGCAAGGCCCTGCAGTCGATCCCAGATGTCCTTACCTCCTTCTCTGGCCCCTCAAACTCAAGATTCACTAAACTTGGAAAACCCTTGTCTAAAAGTACACAGTGAACTCTTCTTAGATCTGGGAAAAGGGCCTCTTCCTTGGGCCTTGAGGTCTACTGGCTCCCCAAATCATAAGCACATAAGAAAAGAAATGTATTACAGGACACACATGCACACGTGTCTCTCCAGATCGAAGTTTAGCTCTAGAGTTATACAACCTATACCCCTAACCTCTCTCGGGGTTCACTGAGCTCAGGCCCCACAAAAAGGCTCCACATCTCTCGCTCTGTGTTCCTGGAACAATAGCCACTGGGTCTGAATGTGATGACTGGTGGCTTGTGGACTGTACAGCTGCCAGCATCTGAGATGGATACTATTCTGTAACAGAGGGAGGACTGGAGCAGTGGGGACACTTAGAGGAAAGAAAAGACCAATTAAAAACTCTTGTCCAATTCCTTCTCTTAGGTGGATGAACATATTTTTCCTGTAATGATGAAATAAATTTGCTCTCTCACTCATTCATTCACTCTCTGACGTCAAGTAGGTTCTGACTTACAGCAACCCTCCATAGAGCTTCTGAGGTAGTAAATGTTAACAGAAGGAGCCTGCCCGTCTTTCTCCCATGAAGCAGCTAGTGGATCTGAAACGCCGGAAACTTGAACCCTTTGGATTGGTAGTGCAACTTGCTAGGAATTGTTCCACCCGGGCTGCCTCTCATTTCCTATAAAGCTAATCATTCATCTTCTGTTTCTCTTTGTGACCCAGTTTATGCTGATCTTGGAGTAACCTCCACTTAAACGTTGACACTATACTCTTTCAGTGTCTGGGTCAGGTTGACACTATTAAAGAGCTGTGGGCTGAGTGTCCTGTGGAAAATGACCATGAGTTCTCTTGGGTGTTAGTCTCATCCTCTTCTGACCTCTGCCTCACCCACCTCTGCCATCACCCAACAGTGGTCTACACAGAGAAAGGGGACAGAAGGACTCATCTTATTTGGGAGATGGGGTAAGCAATTTGTTTAATGTAATTCAGGCAGTTAGGTGAAGCCACGCACTAGGAGAACCCATACTTAGAGTCCTAGCTAAAAACCATGACAGACAGCGTGAACAGCTTGGAAGTGACTGAGGGACCGACTTGGGAGTCAGAATGGCCCTGAAACTCCTGGATCCTTTACGCATTTGCTTTTGGACATGGGAGAAAGTTTCTCAAAGTGCTTAAAATGAAGTCTTTCCTATATAAGCTGGCAAAGAGTTCACAAGTGCTCTGTACTGTTTTGTAACTCTCTGTGAGTCTAATTTTATCTCATTATGTTGTTGTTGTTATGTGCCATCGAGTCGCTTGCGACTCATAGAAACCCTACATCCAATAGCCCTAAACCCTGTTCTATCATGGGTCAATCTTATTGTCTCTGACACACCTCATATTACCCCAGTCACTGAATCAATTCATCTCATCAAAAGTCTTCCTCTCTTGTGCTGTCCCTCTACCCTCCCAAGCATGACATCCCTCTCCAAGGACTGGTTCCTCCTTGCAACATGTCCAAAGTACGGCAGAAGAAGCTTCAGAATCCTTGCCTACAAGGAGCAGCCTGTTTTCACCCTCTCTAGAATGAACCTGTTTGTTTTCCTAGCAGTCCATGGTATATTCAATACTCTTCTCCATCACCACAGTTCAAAGGCATCAATTCTCCTTCTATCATCCCTAGTCATTGTCCAGCTTTCTGATGCATAGCAAGTAATTGCAAAGACTATGGCCTGGGCCAGGCACACCTTAGTCTCCAGACTGACATAGCTGCTCTTCAGTACTTTGGAGAGGTCTCTGACGGTAGACTTTCCCAATGCAATTCAACTTTTAATTTCCTGGCTGCTGGTTCCAAGAGTGTAGACTGTGGATTATCTCATAATAGAAAGCTTTTAAAAATATAGATTCTCATCTATATTCCCATCTAGAATAATCAACATTCTTGACAGAAGCAGTCAGGAAATTAATAAATTACATTAGAGAAATCTGCTGTCAGGGACCGCTCCAAAGTGCTAATGAGTAATGATGTCAGTCTTGAAACTAAGGTGACCTGATTCAAATCATGATTTTCACAATTATTTGCTATGCAATAGAAAGCTGGACAATGACTAAGATGACAGAAGAAAAATTGATTTCCTTGAGTTTTGATGATGGAGAAGAGTATTGAATATACCGTGGACTGCTAGGAGAACAAACAGGTCTGTTTTTGAAAGGATGAGATCAAGCTACTCCTTGAAGACAAGGTTTGAAGCTCCAACTCACATACATTGGGCATATTTCAAAAGGGACCAGTCCTTGGAGAAGGATATCATACTTAGAAGAGTGCAGAAGAGGGAAACCCCAGATTGACATAGTAACTGGGGCATTGGGGGTAGGTGTGTCAGAGACAGTGAGACTGGCTGAGGATAGAGCAGGGCTCAGAACTATTGGACACAGGGTGTCTATGAGTCTCAGGCAACTCGATGGCACATAACAACAACAACCTCTATAACAAGAGGTAGTAATGGCATCTGGCTCCCAAGAGGCTTAAGTAAGGTCATGCGTATAAAAGACTTTCTGCTCTTAGTAGGGACTCAATAGATGAGGGATCCAGATGGCAGATGAGCATCCCCATGTCACAGCTTTCTTGACCTTTTTGTGTCCTCAGCACCTGAAAGCAGGAATTATTTGGTGTTATGTTTGAGATGACTTAACATGATCACCAAGAACACACATTCGATACTTCCTCTTATAACTTCCTTGCTAGCATGACAGACAAGTCACTTGATGATTCTATTCTGTACCTCAATTTTCTTTTTCTCAATAATAAAATTTATCCTTCTTAGTATTGTTATCGGATTAAATAAACTCATTTGCTCTGCAGTTAGAACTGTTCCTGGCCTATCGATAATGCTATCTGTAATCTTTTTCCAATGTTCATGTCTATTTTTCTTCAATGGTTACTTGGAAAATACCAAGATCTGAATATTAATTGTACTTTGATATTTGTTCCCATTCCAAAGAAATGTGACCCAACATAATGTGGATATTATCAAACAATATCATTGATATCACATGCATGCAAGATTCTGCTGAAAATTATCCAAAAACATTTGAAACAATACGTCAACAGAGAACTGCCAGATGTGCAGGCTAGATTTAGAAGAGGTCGTGGTACTAGGGATCTTATAGCTAATGTAAGATGGATCTTGGCAGAAAACAGAGAATACCAGAAGAATGTCTATTTGTGTTTCATTGACTATGCAAAGAATTTTGAATGTGTGGATCACAAGTTATGGCTGACTCTGAGAAGAATGGGAATCCCAGAACATTTGATTGTGCTAATGTGAAACTTATACTTGGACCAAGAGGCAGTCATCAGAACAGAGCAGGGAGACACTGGATGGTTCAAAATCAAGAGAAAGGTCCGTCAGGGATGTATTTTGTCTCCATACCTTTTCAATCTGTATGCAGATCAGATCATCTGAGACGCTGGGCTGTACAAGGAGGAACGTGGCATTAGGATTGGTGGAAGAATCATCAACAACCTGTGTTATGCAGACGACACAACCCTGCTTGCTGAAAATGAGGTGGACCTGAAGTTCTTGCTGCAGAAGGTCAAGGACTTAAGTCTTCAATATGGATTGAAGTTCAATATTAAGAAAACAAAGATTCTTACCACTGGGCCAATTGACAGCATCAGTATGGATGGTGAAGAGATTGAGATAGTTAACAGTTTTAGTTTACTTGGCTCCACAGTCAACACTTTTGGTAACAGGAAATCAGGAGACGAATTGCATTGGGAAAGTCAGCTGTGAGGGACCTCTCAAGAGTACTGAAGTGCAACGACGTCAGGCTGGAGACTAAGGTGCGTCTGATCCAGGCTATAGTCTTTGCAATTATGTGCTATGCATTGGAGAGTTGGACAGTGAATAGGGATGATAGAAAGAGAATTGATGCCTTTGAGTTGTGGTGATGGAGAAGAGTGTTGAATATATCACGGACTGCTAGGAGAACAAACAGGTTTGTTCTGTAGAGGGTGAAGCCAGAATGTTCTCTGGAGTCAAGGATTCTGAAGCTTCGTCTGACATACTTTGGGCATGTTGCAAGGAGGGACTGGTCCTTGGAGAGAGACATCATGTTTGGGAGAGTGGAGGGACAGTGCAGGAGAGGAAGACCCTCGATGAGATGAATTGATTCTGTGAGCAGAGTGAATGTGCTTGAGACAGCGAGGTTGGCACAGGACAGAATGACATTTAGGGCTCTTGTACATAGGGTCGCTATGAGCCGCAAACTACTCGATGGCACATAACAACAACAATAAGATTTTTGGGGGTAAGAAATAATTTTGGTCTCCAGTTTCATAATTTTCCCCATTGATAAGCGTCTATCATTACAGAAAGTCGGTGACATTTCATCTCACTTTAGCTATATTTTCAGGAGGAACTAGTCCATGGAGAGAGACATCATACTGAGAAAGGTAGATGGTCATCGAAAGAGAGGAAGACTCTCAACAAGATGGATAGAAACAATGATTAGCTCAATTTGAGCAGGGGAGAAATTGGGAGGGTGACACAGGATAGGGTAGGGTTCAGACCTATGGTTCATAGGGTCGCTCTGAGGCATAGTCGACTCAACAACATGTAACAACAACAAAGCTCCTATCATCCATTCGCTGGACATATTATACTGAGCATTTATTGGTTAGTTCCTTATGTATTGGGTTGCTCACTGAATGATCAGCATTCGAATACACAAACATGTCAGTGGAAGAAAGATGAGGCCGTCTCCTGTAAAAAGTTACAACCTCAAAAAAAAAAAAGTTACAACCTCAACATTGATGGCAGGTGGATTATAAATTGGAATCAACCTGACCGCAGTGGGCTGGCTTTGGTTTTGTTTTAATGTGTCTATTATCCTACTATGAGTAAGCATAGATTGGATTAATTCTGAATGAACAAATAAAAGTAGAGAAGGAAAATTGGAAGTAAGGACAGCAGTCAGTCCAGGGACGTGCAGGTGTCCCTACAACTTTAGCCCGACCGACTACAAATGGCAGAGGTGCCCCGTTGCCTCCTTGCTTTCTCATTTCTACCTCTGCTTGAACGTTGGGCGCCCCTCGCCCCGTGCCATCATCCTGGCGTTTAACCCTGGGGACTGAACAGAGTGCATGTCAAGGCGTCAGGGAGGGGCGGGCACAGTGCCGGCGACCCGCCTCCTCGCCTCTTGCGCTGAGTGAAGATTAGGTGACTCCAGCGCCTCTGCTCCCCAGCAGGGAGTGCGCCCCTCTAACGGCAGCCCAAACCCTGTACCCCGCCCCACCCCAGAGTTGCCCAAGACGTGAGGTGACTCCTCCTCGGGGGCCCTCCCCTCTGGGGCACGTCATTCTCCCCACCCCTGAGTCTTGACCCCGGGCGGCCTCTTGCACACGGACCACGGTGGGGACAAGTCGTGGCCACCTGCTGAGGAGCCAGGATCCCGGGGCGCCGTCCACCCCTGGGTCGGTCTGTGCGCCCAGCGTCCCATGGAGCTGCCGGCGACCAACGCCAGCTGTGAGAACGGTGCGTGCAGGCTGGGCGGGGCTTGGGAGTGGACCTGAATTTACCTCGCGCGCCTTGCTTTGCGCCAGCCTCTCTCCGTCTCGTCTTTCTAGCTGAGGGTTCAAACTTCAGGAGATAGAAGGTTAGCAGGAGTTGTCTCCTGCCCAATCCCTTCTGAAGAGGAACAGGATTTTGGATGAAACTTCACCCTCATCTTACACAGGGGTAGTTGAGGAGGAGGGGTAACAGGAAGCTGGGGAGAGTGGGCCTGAGAGGTAAGAGGACGTGCACACAGTAATACCTGCCGTCTGGGAGACGTTCTTTCTTTCTTTCTTTCTTTCTTTTTTTTTTTTAAATACATGGTAGCTTAAGAACTTAGAACCAGCCAGTTTTAGAACCAGCCAAGGTCTGCCTGTATCCTTGGGTGGATGCTGGACCCACTGAAGACAGAAGAGGTGCAGAGACTCACCACCCTCAAACCCACATCTTTTAAAAAAGGAAGGGGAGAGAAATCCTAAGAAATAGATAAAGACCTTTGACTTTATCATCTGTTCTTCCTAGAAACTAAATAGTGAGTTCTTTACCTGCAGGACCTCATCAAAACCACTCCAGAAAGGAGCAGTCAATACTTGATTGCTGTCTTTGTTGCTGAGTCTGAGTTTATGCCATTTTGAATCTGTAGCTTAGAGGTCACTGAGGCTCTGAAAAGTGCTCTTGTTTAATGCAGCGGGGAAATGGAATTATCAAACACTCACCTGACTCATTGTCCTACAGTAGATTCCAACCCAGAAGCCGTAAATTTTTAAGGGACATTGGTGGTTGTTGCGCTATTAAGTCAGAACCAACTCATAGGTGACCTACAAGCAGATTTTCAGAGGCAGTAAGTCACATTGGAAGAGATTGCCTATCTTTCCCCTGCAGAGCACCTGGTGGATTCTGAACTCCTCTGGATTGGTAGAGCGGCTTCCACCACTAGGCAGCAGAGACCCATACACTGCCTGTACTGCCACATCGGAACCACTGGTTGGAGACATTCATTCTGCCACTTGGTCCACAGCACAACATGTTGGGACTTTGCCACCAGAGCTCCTTAATGGGCTCTTGAATTCTGACACCTGTGCTCCCATTGCTTTGGTCTCAGTTTTTTTCCTGGGTTGATCATCATCCTACCTTGTCTGGAATTACAGCTTATGTGATATGCCTTCTTCTCTAGACCCTCCCCCTCTCCAGCAACACTGTTAAAACTGGTCTGTCTACTGGGTGTTGTCTGCATTTGGTTTCCTGATTAATGATACAGGCCATTTTCAGCCTCACTCCATTTCCCTGAGGCAGAATGTTTCCCGCAGACCTGAAATATTCGTGGTGGAAGAGAAGGCTGTAATCATTTGGTCCAGCACTCATTTTCCAGATAAATATACCCTTTTCAGAATGGGATTTGCTTTAGTCACCAGCCTTTGTTTCTTTTTGCACCTGTGAGAGAACTTGATTCCCTGGAAGGTGCTAAGGCTTCACAATGACAGCTAAGTCCATTAATGGGGGATGGCGAGGAGGGCAGACAAAGGGGGCACTGAAGAGGCTTGGCATTCCTCTCTAGAGTCCTGTTCCTTGGTCCTGGCTTTGTACGTGTTTCCCAGGTACTGTCTCATTTCCTGAGCTCAGGGAACTCCCCGGATTTGGCTCTTGGGCAAGGAGGCACGAGCTGGAGGAACAGGAGTGAGTGGTGCAGAACAAGTCTAATTAGGGACAGCCATTGTTCCTAGTCTCATCTTCCCTTGATTGTGACATAGGCATTGGGTTGTGAGATCCTTCATGAGTATCTTCTGGTGGGTTCTAGACCCACCTCTGCCCCAGCAGTTTATGTGACTCAGGACAATTTCTTCCCCTTCTTGAGGTCTCAGTTTCCTCAGGTGAAAATTGCAGGTTTAGACAGGTTGCTTCCTAGACCTCTTGAACTTCTATGCAACGGAGAACAGTCAACATTGCCCTTATTTTGTCCTAGGTAGATGCCACACTGCCATTTATATGTGTCAAGACCAAATCTGGCAGACCTTGGACTTGATGTGGTCAAGGGTTTCTGCTTGATCCTGTCATATATCCTTGGCATAGGAGTCTGGGTCTTTGCCATACACAGCTTGAAAAAAGACCTTTCGTAAAAGCACATATCTGATGCCCCCAGAGACTGAGAACATAGCAAAAATCACTAAAGAGAGCTGGGGCAGAACTTCAGAAATTTCAAAGGCATGTCTTAAATAAAAGGCACCACTGCTCAGCTCTAATCAATCGTTGCCTTATTAGAAGACATGCTTATAAAGTAAGCAGATCTTCTCAGAGTTTAGTGTAGGACCAAACTTGAATTTTCATATGCAGCCTTTGAATTCTAAATGTTGGCACCAAATCAATACTTTAAAAAAACAAGTAAAGAAACAAAACAACCTTCAGGGAACCGGAAGTAATCTCATCCTCCTTTGCTTCCTGCTTTTGGGGCTTGCAGTGATAGTGGGATGGTGGTGTCACATAGAACTGGGGTAAAATTCTGACTTCATGAATTATAACCAGTGACATTTCAGGCAGGTTGTTGAATTTGTCAGGGCTTCTGTGTTTTCAGCTAAAAAACTAGATGAGATAATAAGTTCTGCAGTATAATGTATCTGTGAAACATCTGCGTAGAAAGTCCTGGAACAGAGGACCACCTGGTGAGTATTCTTGAGGATTATTGTCTGTTCTCTGTATTGTTGTTGTTATGTGCTGTCGAGTCGCTTGCAACTCATAGCGACCCTATGTACAACAGCCCTAAACTCTGCTCTGTCCTGTGCTAATCGCATTGCCTCTGACACACCCATCCCAATTACCCCAGTCACTGAGTCAATCCACCTCATAGAGGGTCTTCCCCTCCTGTGATGTCCCTCCACTCTACCCAGCATGATGTCCCTCTCTAAAGACCTGTCTCTCCTTACAACATGTCCAAAGTATGTCAGATGAAGCCCCAGAATCCTTGCCTCCAAGGAGCAGCCTGGCTTATCCCTCTCTAGGATGAATCTGTTTTCTTGGCAGTCCATGGTACATTCAATACTCTTCTCCAGCACCACAGCTCAAAGGTGTCAATTCTCCTTCTATCTTCCCTAGTCATTGTCCAACTCTCTGATGCATAACAAGTGATTGCAAAAACCATGGCCTGTATCAGGCGAACCTTAGTCTCCAGAGATACACCGTTGCTCTTGAGTACTTTAGAGAGGTCCCTAACAGCAGACTTTCCCATCGCAATACGTTTTTTTATTTCCTGGCTGCTGGTGCCAAGAGTGTTGACCGTGGAGCTGAGCAAACTGAAGCTGTGAACAATCTCAATCTCTTCGCCATCCATCCTGATGCTACTGATTGGTCCAGTGGTGAGAATCTTTGTCTTCTTGACATTGAGCCTCAGTCTATACTGAAGGCTGCAGTCCTTGACCCTCTGCAGTAAGTGCATGAGGTCCTCCTCAGTTTCAGCAAGCAGGGTTGTGTCATCTACATAACTCAGATTGTTGATAGATCGTCCACCAATCCTAACACCACGCTTCTCCTCATAGAGCCCAGCCTCCCAGATAATCTGCTCTGTATACATGTTGAAAAGGTATGGAGATAGGACACATCCCTGGTGTATACACTTCCCAATTTTGAACCATGCAGTGTTACCCTGCTCTGTTCTGACGACTGCCTCTTGGTCCAAGTATAGGTTTCGTATTAGCACGATTAAATGTTCTGGGATTCCCATTCTTCTCAGCGTCAGCCACAGTTTGTTATGATCCACGCAGTCAAATGCCTTTGCATAATCAATGAAACTCTGTATTAGTTAATTGAATTTGTCCAGCCTGACAGCTTTGATTTTGGATCTACCTCTATGGCCAGGCTTGCCCTTTGTTGTGTGGAGGCTAAACACTTGGTGTTTGTGCTGGAGGATCTGCTGTTAATAAAAAAGATTGGAAGTTCAAGTCTTTCCAGTCCACCTTGAGAGAAAAACCTGACTATCTAAATTTGAAAAAATAATTAACTTCTGGAAACCCTCAAGGGAATAGTTTTATTCTAGTACACATGGGATTGTCAAAAGTCAGAGAGGGCAAGCAAGAGAAGGATGGCTTTGGGGCAAGAGAGTTGATTCAACCTTGTGGGAACTCTGAGATGTGGAGATCAAACTAAGATTATGCTTCAAGTAGCCGATTATGGATTCCTCCTAGATCAGAACTTGACCGTGTGGCTCACAACACATTTTGAATAATGTTGAGAAGAATGGGAATCCCAGAACACTTAAGTGTATTCATGTGAAACCAATACATTGGCCAAGGAATTGTGGTCCAAATAAAACAAGGAAACAGTACATGGTTTAAAATCAGGAAAGCTATGTGTCAGGATTGTACACATTCTCCACACAATCCTGACATGTAGCTTAGAGGTAACTGACAGCCTGGGTCATGCAGATGAATGACACAAGCTTGTTTGCAGAAAGTGAGGAAGATTTAATTGCAGAAGATTAAAGACCATAGTCTTCCATAGGATTCAATATCAACACCAAGCAAACAGAAATCTTCACCACTGGACCAATAGGCCACATCATAACAGACAGAGAAATGATAGAAGTTGTCAATTTTCATTTTACTTGGACCCACAATCAACACCCATGGTGGCATTCATCAAGAATCAAAAAGACGTGTTATGTTGGAAAAATCTGCTGTCAAGTACCTCTCTAAAGTTCTAGAGAGCAAGGGTGTCAATTTAAAGACATTGATGTGCTTGACACAAGCGATGGCATTTTCAGTTGCTTCCTGTGCAATCTGAAAAGTTAGGCAATGAATATAGAAGACTGAAGAAAAATCTATGACTTTGAATTGTCATGATGGAGAAACATATTGCGTAACTCATGGGCTGCCGGAAGAGCAAACAAATCTTTCTTTGAGGAAGTGGAACAAGGGTGCTCCTTAGAGGCAAGGAGGGTAAAAACTTGGTCTTAAATACTTTAGGTATGTCAGGAGGGCTAGTCCTTGGGGAAAAAACATCATGCTGGGAAAGGTGGATCCTCCGTAAAAGAGAGGAAGATTTTCATCAAGATGGATAGACACATGGGTTTGAGCAGAAGGGAATTGTGAGGATTGTGAGCATAATGAGATTGTGAGCAAAGTTCTTATCTGTTGAGAGTTGCTGTGGGCTGTAGTCGACTTGATGGCACCTAACAACAATAACAAGATCAGAATAGTCCCCAGCCACTAACCCAAGCCTTAAGGTTTTTAGAAGCAAAGACCAGGAATGATCAGTTTTGACAAACATGAGGCTCACAACTTAGCTTTTTCCAGACTTAGAAGGTGCTGGACTGTCTCCCCTCACACATGTTACCCATGGTTAGTCTTCTGTTCTTATTAGTTACATCAGGTTCCTCATTCATGCCAACTCCATGTACAACAGTACAAAATACTGGCCAGTCCTGTGCCATGATCAATTGCATATAGAATTATTAGACCATAAAGGTTTCATGGTCTAATTTTCAGAAGTCAACACTAAGCTTTTCTTCCTACTCTGCACGGAAGCTCAGCTGAAAACTATTCCATATCGTAGCACTGGAAGGGCATGGCTGCATATGAAATGCATTGCCTGGAAATGAATCCATGTTTTCACATGGAAGACAAGAATCCTACCATTGTATTGTTGTTGTTGTTATGTGCCATTGAGTTGCCTGTGATCCATAGAAACCCTATGTATAGCAACCCTGAACCCTTCCCTGTCCTGAGCCAGTCTCACTAATTCCGACACATCCCCATTGAGCTAGTCACTGTGTCAATCTATTTCATCCAGGGTCTTCCTCTCCTGTACTGTCCCTCCACCCTTCTAAGCATGATGTCCTTCTCCAAGGACTGCTCTCTCTTGGCCATGTGCCCAAAGTATGTGAGACAGAGCTTCAAAATCCTAACCTCCAAGGAGACACTTGGTATCACCATCTCCAAGACAGACCTATTTGTTTTCTTGGCAGGCCATAGTATGTTCAAGACTCTTCTCTAGCACCACAATTCTAAGGCATTGATTCTTCTTCTGGCGTCTTAGTCATAGTCCCGCTCTCTGATGCATAGCAAGTAATTGTGAAGACCATGGTCTGGATTTGGTGCACCTTAGTCTCAAGCGAAATGAAGAAGCTATTGGGAAGGATTCAATCCCTGGAAGTGATGAAAATTGTTGGAGGCTTACCCAGCCAGAAACTGAGGAGGAAATCTTGTACATGGGCGTGGGGGTTGGATTTCTAACTAATAAAGAGAGCATCAGTGTAGTCCCAGTTACTCACTGAGGTTCTGAAGTCAGATAACCCAGACTTGACAATGTCATTTAGTAACTGTTTGCCCTTATACAAGATACTTGACCTCTCAATGTCTCTGCTTCTACTGGAGAGTAAAGACACTTGTCTGACAGGTGTTGTTGTTGTTAATTTGTATGCTTTCAGAGACTGTAAACTGCTTGGGAGGATAATGCCCGTCTTTCTTCTTGGAACAACTGGTGGATTTGAATTGCCTGCCTTTGGGTTTGCAAAAGAACTCCTTACCACTAGGCAACTAGAGCTCTGCGAGTTTATGCATATAAGATTTGTGGCATGTTGTAGGTACTCTGAGAATGTTAACTATTATTTTTATACTGAGACTTATTATGTGAGCAAGATCTTGCAGTAACTGAAGCATAGTGGCTGTCAGTGGTCGTACCAATATAGTATTTTTAAAGTATGCAAGTGACCCCACAATAACTTTCTCCTTGTGGTCCTCTCATCCAGGCTCCCTGATTGCCACATACTGCTCCTCCCAACAAGTCCTGTGCCAGATCGTGGGTGACTTCAACCCTGAAGAAACACCCAACAATGGCACTTTTCACAGCTGGCAAGAGAAGTTTAAGCAGAACTATGGTTTCTACGTTGGACTGGGCCTGGCCTTCCTGTCCTGCTTCCTCATCGGCAGTAGTGTCATCCTCAAGAAGAAAGGCCTGATGCGGCTGGTGGCCTCAGGGGCCACGCGGGCTGGTAAGCTGCTGAGAGCTGATGGGCATGGGACACAGGACAGCTGAGCCCACGGTCAGCTTCCCTTCTCAGAAATGGGATGAGAGTTTGAGAGACTGGCCTCAGATGGGTTAAAAACCTCATTGTCAACCCTATAGAGAAGCCCAGCCATCAACAGGACACATTCTTTCAACATTTCCAGTACTTCATAATGTGTGTTGATTAGAATAAAGACAGCGAATGTTAAAGGGGCAAGAATCAGAAACTCCAGATCTAGTCCTGGTTTTACTTCTCTCTGGTTCTGTCATTGTTAGAAAATCACAGCTTCTCTGCAGACTGAGATACCTCTGCCCATAATAGTGTCAGACACTAGTATGTGCTTACTGCCAAACTGAGCTTCATTCTGGGCTACAAAAGAATTATTAAGTCTATCCACAAGGGACTTGCTTGTTTGGAAAAGAAATCATGTATCCATGAAAGAATTCTTGAGCAAAAGAATCATGCACAAGATGATTCATTTAGTCAGTCAGCAATTATTGTGTGTCTGCTGTGTGCATGTGAAATTTGAGGGTTTAGTGAAATAAGGGGGTTCAGTGTCCTTATGGAACATCTTGAATTCAAGAGAGACAGAGACAGTATAATATAGGCAATTATCCTGTGCTGGGTTAAGTGCTGCCGCAGGGAAATAGGCAGTGTACTGGGAGCCTTGTGGAGTGTATGTGCAGCCCAGGCTTGGGAGACCAGTGGGGGTTTCTGGAAGGGTTGATCTCTCAACTGAGACCTAGATGGTGAGATATAAAGGAAGGAGGAAGACATGCCATTCCAACCAGAAGGAACAAGCAATGGCTCAGAAGTGAGAAAATGAGTGATATAAGAAACAGAGAGGTGTTCAGGATGACTGCTAAATTGTGCTTCACAAGTGCAAATTGCAATTGGTAGAGAGATTTTCAGCAGAGTGTCATAGTCCAATTTAGGATTTGAAAACGTTGCTGGGTAGAAAATGGATTGAAGCATAAGAGTGAAAGACCAGTTAGGGAAAGGAGATGACAGCACATGAGCTTGGGAAATGATGGAAATAGAGAAAAGTGGTGAATTCAAGGGATAATTTGAGGTAGAAGCTACTGGATTTCTTATGGCCTGGCTCCAAGGGGAGGGTGAAAATGCAGGAGAAAGGATGACTCAGTGTTCTGACTTAAGCAACTGTGTAAATGATGGTGTTGGTTTCTGAAATGAAGAATGCGGGAGGAGCAGGTTTATGGGAGGATGATGCAGTCAAGTTTGAACATGTACATTTGATGTGTTTGTGGGATACTAGGCTTTGGAATCAGACTACTAAGAGTTTAGATTCTGATTCCTCAGTTCCTAGTCATGAACAAGAAACTTATTCTTCTGTGCCTCATTCTCCTTGTCTAGAAAAGATGTATGAGAATATTAGCAGTCCTAGAGTTTGTTGTGAAGTCTTAAAATGTTTAGAAAGGCCCTAAGCACAAAGTAAGCCGTGATTGTACTACTGTTATAGTGGTATCTAGTGGGATGAGCTCTAAACCTGTCGCTGTCTGTTCACTGGCAACTTAACAGCGACATCCTGATGGGGGTAAGCATGACAGAGATACCCACTCCGGAAGAGGATCAGAGAGTCAATCAGCTCAATTTTATTGGGACTGCAGTGCACTTATACACAAGAATGTAAAAAGGAAAACAGGATAGGGTGAGTGTACAGATGTGAGACATGCAGATTGGTTCGGAGAACCTCAGCCTTGTGCTGACCACTCCCAGCTAAACAGATGTGGCAGCCATCTTCCCAGGTAGTGAGCTTTCTCAAGCTGGTACAGCCCACACAAGGGAGCTTTCTCTACTCTGTATTAAAGGCCATTGGAGGCTTGCACTTATCTGGAGTTAGGCGATCTGTCCTGGTCAACTTTCCTTAACATAAGGTGGTGAGATGTGAAGTGTAGGAGTGAAATCTGGCAACAACAGTGGTTATTTCTCTTTCCTCTTCACTTCTGGATAAGTGTTCAAAAGGACAGAGACCTGCCGAGGGAAAAGAGAATACCTGCTTGTGTTTAAGGGAGAGCCCAGGTAGTCACGCTGTAGCCGAGGAGTAACAGAAGTATTATTTATTCACCTCATAGAAAGGCAGCTTCTGCAGAATCCACCTTCACCTCTTCCAGTAAAAGCTCTCTCAGTTCTTATCTTCTATGGTCTACCTCAAAAAGCAGCATATAACTTACTGGTTTTCGCGGAATTGTTTAAAATCCATTCAATGTCATCATCCAACCTAATATTTTAAAATATGGACTGATAATTTTTTAATATTAACTAGGGCCAGCCTTTGAGTCCACTGTCTGACAAAAATAGACACAGTCCTTGGATCCCTGCAGCTGCCATATCAGTGAGAGAAATTCTAGGAAATGAATAGATGAACTAAAAAACTATAACTGGAAATTTTAGTCCTCTGAGAAGTAGCAGTTCCTCAAAAGAAAAGCCTGATAATCCACTTTTTAAAAAGTAAGCGTTAGAGGGGGTAAATAATAAACATTGAAATAGATGAGGGAAAGAACTGCTTAAAATAAATACATGGTTGGGTATTATTTGCATGACAATAGTCCAGACTGAGGTGCATAGCAAGGTGAACTGGGAGGTGGGGGAAGGAGGAAATTGTACAACAGTGGAAGAATCTTTTTAAAGGGAAAAGTGAACTGGGGTGGGGTGGGTAGTAGGGAGGAAAATGTGCAACAAAATAGGAATGGAAATCCAAGTTTTCTGTTAACTTTCATTAAAATAACAATAACATTTTTTTAAAAATTAGCCATTGTTAAAACTGGCAATACTGCTCTACAGTAATGCACATGGGATCACCCTTAGTCAGAGTCTACTTGAGAGCAAATTGTTTGTTTTCTTTTAAATACAAGAAGGGCAAAGAGCTGGACATAATGACAGAGATGCAAGGCTTTGTTCAGGTTTTTTGTTTTTGTCTTAAGAGCAGTCCTTTGAAAGGCATTGAGCAGCTGTAAACAGTCACATAAATGGTTTATGTTCCTTTTTTTTAATGTAAATGCTGCTGCTGCTACTACTTCTTCTTTTATTTCTTCATTTTTTTTCATTGTAAAAAATATGTATGGGAGATGTGGGAGCAGATGGGTGAGGATGGGGAGGGATGAAATCACAGATTTGCACAATTTGATGGGCGAAGGGAGTGGGTAAAGGAAATGGGAAAGATCTGTGTGACTGGAAAAGAGAGGGTAATGGTGGGCATACAGTCCCATAAGTGATTGATTTATCTTAATTTTTTTTTTTACAAAGAAATTGTCTTTTCCATTTGTGAGTTTCTCATTTGGGAAAGGAGCACAGAGAGTCTGGCTGCTTCATGCTGAACGGGGACATTGAGATGAAGGGGAAGGGGAATCCACTTTAACGCTTTACTGGTGGTCTTGAGTTGAAGCTGCATGTCTTCGTGTTCAGTTAACACATTGCCGCACACTTTTAAATTGACTGCCGTGCTTAGAAACACATTTTTTTTTATAGCCGTCATTTTCAACAACGTGTTAAAAGATATTTTCATGACATATTCTGCCCTCTGGACTGCAAGGTGTTTGTGTGAGTGAGTCCAGTGGGAGTGGCTGGTTGAATTTTGAGGCTCCATCCACCTTTGCTTCCTTAGATGGCAGTTATATTTCCCTTTTGTCTCTGGAACCAGGCTCAGAGTTCAGGTTAGGTGGACTGGAGGAGGAGATGGAGGAAAGTGGCTTAGATAAAGTTCCTCATATACCAGGCGGCACTCCCCAGGGGCTGGGCAGCTCTCCTCATGGGCCAGAGGGCCCTCCACTGCCAGATGGCTGTCCCAGGGACCAGATGCCCCACCCCCAAAGCTCTTCTGAGGTCCTGACCTTGCACCCTACCAGTGACTTTGGCTAGGGACAGCACTTCTGGCTTTAGGTATGCCATCATTGCCCCCTTCCTCTTAGCCAGGTGGTCTAATTGTAACTCGAAGTAGGCATTTGAACATTCCCCTTCCACAGATGGAGAAGGGGCTTCCAGAGTGGTGAACAGACCACTCAAGTTTGAAAAAGTAATAAAGGTAGTAGAACAAGGACTCCAACCATGGTTCTCTGAAGGCTGACTGTGACGTGGTGAGCTCCAACACTTGTTTGGCCCTCTTCTATCTTCCTCTGCAAGCAAAATCCTGCTAAAGATCATTTTCAAAATGACCAGAAGCGCACTCTCAGGTCGTGTGCGCATGCATGGGGTGCTTCTCAATGGTTTACGTTCTTAAAAGATTGCTGGCTACAATGAGAAAGGAATGGTTCTAAAGGACATGAGAAGCATCAAAAGAACCACTCAGAAACTGTTTCTCAACCCAGGACAGAGGTAGGTAATAGTGCCTTGGAGTAGAGTGGTGGTGGCATGGATACAGATGAGACCTCTTTGGGGGATAGAGTCAGTAGGATGGACTGGATGTGGAAGGCAGTGTGAAGAAGGGATCAAGGATAGCACCTTTATTTCTGGCTTAAACAATAGATATATGGAAGTCCTGTGTACTGAATTTTATTCAGAAGTTGGATAGGGAATATTTAAAGTCATGTGTTCCATTTAGATTGTGTTTGAGTTGCTTGTGAGAGCTAAAAGGAGATGTCAAATGGGCAGTTGGATATACACATCTGGGCTTAGAAGAAAGGCCCAGGCTCTAGGCATGAAATAGGGCACCAGCATACAGAAGATCTTGAGAATAGATTAATTCACTCAAGAGAGGACCAAAATCAAGGTCAGGAAGTTGGCCAGTGAAGGTAAGAATTAACACAGGTGCCCACCAAAGTGTTACCAAATTCTAACTTTGTGTTTGTTCCCTTCTACAGTGGAAGGAGGTTATGGCTACCTGAAGGATGGAATGTGGTGGGCTGGATTCCTCACCAGTAAGTGGACTCTTTGCTACTAATGACAGTGACCTATTGATAACAAAGGTGGAACAAAGTGGAGGAGTAGATCAGCATTTCTGTCCCTACTGTACAGAGTATGAATCTGAGATGAAGATTCCTAGGAAATCATATTGACCATCTTTGTGAGTACAACACCTTACCCTCCTCTCACATCACTCTGTCAACTCAAAGCCAGTCTTTCATCAGTGAAGCATCTATTCCAGAATGTCTACACATACCCACTGCTGAAGGCATATCTTTTTCTCAATTTCCCTTGAATGCAGGGAGATATCACTGTCTTGTCTTCTGGATTTTAAAGAGACAGTTAAGGCTAAATCTTCTGAATTAATTTCCATACCCACAGGCAATTTGCTGGTGCATTTAGAAGAAAAATGGTCTACCATCTAACATTTGACCAAATTTTCCCACCCACTTGAGCATTTTTTCCAACATTATAGCTGTCTTACCTGATTTTTATATCCTAATTTTTGATGGATATCAGTCTGGAGACTAAGGTGATCCTGATCCAGGCCATGGTCTTTGCAATTACTTGCTACACATCAGAAAGCTGGACAATGACTAGTGATGATAGAAGGAGAATTGATGCCTTTGAGCTGTGGTGCTGGAGAAGAGTATTGAATGTACCATGGACTGCTAAGAGAAAACAAACAGGTTCATCCTGGAAAGGGTGAAACGAGGCTGCTCCTTGGAGACAAGGATTCTAAAACTTCATCTGACATACTTTGGACACATTGCAAGAAGGGACCAGTCCTTGGAGAGGGTTGTCATGCTTGGGAGAGTATAGAGAGACAAGACCCTCGAGGAGATGGATTGATTCAGTAACTGGAGTAATGGGGATAGGTATGTCAGAGACAATAAGATTGGCACAAGATAGAGCAGGGGCCATTGTACATAGAGTCACTATGAATTGCAAGCAACTTGATGGTACATAACAACAACAATTTTTGAAGATGAAACATTGGCCAGCTATACATTTATAAACCCACTAAATCAGCTTTTGATTTAACCAGAGATAGTACATTCTCACCTTTTTCAAAGAGGTTTTGTCTAATAACAGAAAGACAAAAAGAAACTACAGGGATTCCAACTTGTGACTGCCAGACTTTTTCTAACTACCTGCCTATTGTTTGAAACTGTTGATTAAGTTCCTAGCTAAGATCTACCTGTTGGATCTTATCTGGAAGCAGAGAACACGAGAAGTTTACTCATGTCTCATTGACTATATAAAGACACTTAACTGTGTGGCACATAATGATAAATACGTTTGTGATGAGTGGGAGTTCCAAAACACATAGTTGTACTCATGTGTCCCCTGTACATAGACCATGAAACAGTCGTTCCAACAGAACCAAGGGACATTGCTTGGTTTAAAATCAGGAAAGGTGAGCCTCAAGTCCAGAAAATCAAATTGTTGTTGTTGTTATGTGCTGTCGAGTCGTTTCTGACTCATAGCGACCCTATGCACAACAGCTCTAAACTCTGCTCTATCCTGCGCCAACCACACCGCCTCTGACACACCCATCCCGATTACCCCAGTCACCGAATCAATCCATCTCATAGAGGGTCTTCCCCTCCTGCGCTGTCCCTCCACCCTCCCAAGCATGATGTCCCTCTCCAAGGACCCGTCCCTCCTGGCAACATGTCCAAAGTATGTCAGACGAAGCCCCAGAATCCTTGCCTCCAAGGAGTAGCCTGGTTTGATCGTCTCCAAGATGAATCTGTTTGTTTTCCTGGCAGTCCATGGTACATTCAGTACCCTTCTGCAGCACCACAGCTCAAAAGCATCCACTCTCCTTCTGTCCTCCCTAGTCATTGTCCAACTCTCTAATACAACTTTTTAAAAAAACTTCAATACTTAACAATTTTTAGAATTGATCTTAAAGATTCAAACTAAAGCAACGGCTATCCATGAGACACTTAAAAATGCACTTGACCATGTGACAAGAAAAAAAATGAACTTGAACTGACAACCAAGAGGTTTGATGAACAAATGATTTCTACGCATAAATTTGTCATGTGACCTTGGACCGTGGGCCTTAGTTATCTCATCATTAAAGTAGAAAGATTTGATCAGACTATTCTAGACTTACCCTTCTCGTCAGACCCTCCAGCGAAAAAGGGTAGCACGTCAGGACAAGGATTTTAAAGATCACTGGACTGGGGTTCTGTGGATGAACATGGGATGAAGGAGTTTCTGTCTAGGTTCATCTGGGCTGCTGCTGTTGCTGCTGCATCTCAGCTGCACTAAGATCTCTTCTCCTTTACATTTCTAGTGGCTGCTGGAGAAGTTGCTAACTTTGGGGCCTACGCATTTGCTCCTGCGACAGTTGTCACGCCTCTAGGAGCCCTGAGTGTCCTCATAAGGTAATCGATGTTTCTCTAACTAGCTCTGGTTCCTTCTTCTTGGTTGAGACTTGAACTGCCTAGTGGAGTCAAAATGCCTCACTTGTCACTCAAGGGCCAGGCTCCCAGCTCCCAGCTCATAGTAGGGTGTTGCTCCGTCCTTTGGATCCTTGGATTTTTGTTGACAATCACACTAGAGTCCCCTTTAACCAGCTGGAGACTAGAGGGGTAGGGCAGGCCAATCCCCAAACCCATCAGAAGGTCTTTCAGTGTCAAAAGGCTGAGTGCTTCTTGTCAGTTCAAAGCTACTCTGGGTAGACTCAACCTTCCAATTTAGCATCACAATGTGTTAATCTGTTGCACTACCCAGGGAATCCAGCCTATCCTTAGATTCTAGTAAAACCTATCCAACCACGTTCTCTGCTTTGTTGTACCATATTGATGACCATTTTGCAATATTTATAGTTCAAAGGCAAATAGAAGTGTGACTCACAGTTGCACAATTGGCATAGCTGATATCAAGTAGTTGTGATAACACTATTGCATAGTTAGTTTACAAATTCCCACCCACAGAAAATTAGAAGTAGCACAGAATCCTCCAGGTGGGTGTGACCACTGACTATGCCAGTACCTTCAGACTCTGTTGAGCAAGACAATGTAGATTAAATGGTTTGGGTTGTTTCAGAGGAAGATAGACAGGGAACTTAGACATCAGTCTCATCTCTCCTGAGATCTTTAGCCAGTTTATAACCTAATTTATAACTTAATTTATAACTTAATTTGACCCATGGTCAGCACAGATGAGTGTGAGCTCTGTAAAGAAACAGAGTGTCCACCAGTAGCACATCTGGTTTGTCCCTATCCCTCCTTTCACCCCTTACCTTTGTTGACTCACCTGGAGATTATGAGAGAATTAAAATCATGTCATTGTAAGGACATGCAAACATTTTCCCTCAGAGAAGATGACACTCATAAAGTCAGTAAGTTTTAGAAGAACAACTACATTATAATTGCACAGAACATACTAGCTGTATGACCTTTCTGAGATATTTTATCTTCTCTGAAATTATGGATTTTTTTCTGTGAAATGGACATAGTGTTTGTCACTTCACTATAGAATTAAAAATTTGAGAAAATTTCAGGAAGTACCATGTGAACAAAAGCCAATGGTAATGAAGGAAGACGTCAAAGTGGCGCTGAAGTCAGAGGCAAAAGAAAAAGATCCCAGGAATCAACGGGATGCCAACTGAAATGTTTCAATTAACAGATGCAACCCCGGACGTGCTCACCAGTGTATAACAGAACATTTGGAAAAATGTACCTGGTCACCTGACTTGAAAAGATCTATATTTCTCCCCATTCCCAAGAAAGGTGATTCAACAGAATGTGAAAGTTATCAAACAATATCATTAATAATCACATGCAAGCAAAATATTGCTGATGATTGCACAAAAACGGCTAGAACAGTACATTAACAGGGAACTTCCAGAAGTTCAAGCTGGGTTCAGAAAAGGCGATCACACCAGGGATATCATTGTGGATGTCCAAAAATCAGTGAGATTCTTCTATAGTAACAAAGAGAACACAGAAAAGGAATCTAAGAAAGCAATACCATTAAGAACCAATTACAGTCCGTGATACTTGGGAGTGAACTTAACTAGAGATACGAAAGACCTATACAAAGAAAATTACGGAATATGTGCCCTGTTCACAGATAGGAAGACTCAATATTGTGAAAATGGCAATTCTACCAAAAGCAATCTATATGTTTAATGCAATCCTAATAAAGATACCAAATTCATTTTTCAAGGAGATCAAAAGGGAAATATTATCAAGTTTATTTGGAGAGGAAAGAGAACCCAAATAAGCAAAGCACTTCTGAAAAAAAAAATCAAATAGGAGGCATAGAACTCTGACCTCAAAACCTACTACACAGCAGTAGTAGTCAAAACAGCATGGTTCTGGTATGATCACAGGCACATAGACCAATGGAACAGAATTTAGAACCCAGAAATACACCCAGTTATCTATGGTCAATGGATAGTCAACAAGGAAATAAAACCTGTCAAATGGGGAAATGGCAACCTGGAACGCTACCTTCAGAAAGCAGAAATGGGATCCACATCTCACACCATACACAAAAATCAACTCAAGTTGGATCAGAGACCTGGCAATAAAGCCTAAAACCATAAAGTTCATCAGATACAAGCTGGGTTCAAGGTAGATGGCCTGGTGTATGGTATAAGGAGACTGCCAAATACAGCCAGAAATGCTCAATCTGGAGAGGATAAAATTGATGAATGGGACCTTCTAAAGATTAAATCCCTGTGCACATCAAAAATTTTTCCAGCAGAGTGAAAAAAAACCCTACTAACAGGGAAAAAAACATTTGGCAATACTATGTCAAAAGTTTTTAGAATCCTACAATGCGGAACAAGTCATGGTTTTAGGGATATTATAGCTAATGTTAGATGGATCTTGGCTGAAGGCAGGGAATACCAGTTTCATTAAATAAGCAAAGATATTTGACTGTAGATCATAACAATCTTTAGTTAACTCTAAGAAGAATGGGAATCCCAGAACACTTGATTGTGCTTATGTGAAACCTATACTTGGACTAGGAGGCAGTCATCAGAACAGAACAAGAAAACACTGCATAGTTTAAAATCAGAAAAGGTGTACAGCAGGAATATGTCCTATCTCCACACCTTTTCAATCTATATGCTGAACAGATCATTCGGGAGGCTGGACTCTATCAGGAGAAGTGTGGCATTAGGATTGAAGGAAGACATCAACAACCTGTGTTGCTATAACAACCCTGCTTTCTTGGACGAAGGAGGACCTAAAGCGCTTTATGCAGATGGTCAAGGACGATAGCCTTCAATCAACATCAAGAAAACAAAGATTCTCACCACTGAGCCGATTGGCAGCATTGTGATAGATGGTGAAGAGATTGAGATTTTTTAACAGCTTTAGTTTGCTTGGCTCCACAATCAACACTTTTGGTACCAGCAGCCAGGAAATGAAAAGATTTATTGCATTGGGAAAGTCAGCTGTCAGAGACATCTCCAGAGTACTGAAGAGCAACGATGTCAATCTAGAGATTGAGGTGCACCTAATCCAGGCTATGGTCATTGCAATTATATACTATGCATGAGAAAGCTGGACAATGACTAGGGATGATAGAAGGAGAATTTATGTCTCTGAGCTATGGTAATGGAGAAGAGTATTGAATATACTGTGGACTGCTAGGAAAACAAGTACATTCATTCAGGAGAGGGTAAACCTGGCTGCTTCTTGGAGACGAGGATTCTGAAGCTCTATCTGACATACTTTGGGCGTGTTACAAGGAGGGGCCTGTTCTTGGAGAGGGACATTATCCTTGGAGTGTGGAAGGACAGCACAAGAGAGGAAGACCCTCGATGAGATGGATTGACTCTGTCACTAGGGTAATGGGGATAGGTGTGTCAGAGAAAATAAGATTATCTGAGGATAGAGCAGGGTTCCAGCACATAGGGTTGCTATGAGTCACAGATGACTTGATGACACATAACAAACAACAAGGCCTCCACACGAAAAAGACTAATTACACAATTACAAACTGTGCTAAAGATATTGGAAGACTTTTCACAGAAGAAGATATTAGGATGGCTGACAGACACATGAGGAAATGTTCAAAATCACTGGCAATAAGAGAGATATAAATCAAAACCACAATGAGATACCATCTCCCTCCAGTATCAGTGGCAAAGTTTAACAGGAAAGCAAGTAATAAATGTTGGAGAGGATGTGGTGAGATAGGAACTGTTTTATATTATTGGTGGGATTGTGAAACCATACAACCATTCTGGAAGGCAGTTTGGAGCTTCCTCAAAAAGCTGAACATAGAAATTCTATATGACACAGCTATTCCACCGCTTGGAATATACCCTGAGAATATGAGAACTGAGGCACAAACAGAGACTTGTACACCAATGTTCATAGCAGCATTATTCACCATTTCAAGAACATGGAAAGAGCCCAAATGTCCAAGCACAATGGAATGAAGTGAGAAATTATGGTACATTCACATAATGGAATACTACGCAGCACTCAGAAGCAATGATTACTACCTAACTTGGGAGGGACTGGAAAGCATAATGCTAAGTGAACTAACTCAGTCCCATAAGGACAAGTATTGTATAAGAGCATTATTGTAGAATGGGAGAGAATGGGTGCAGAGGGGTGAGGATGGTGGTGGGCAGAGGTGGTTAATCATAGGTTCACACAATTTGATGGGTGGAGTGAGGGGTGAATGAAGGAAATGGGAAAGATTTGGTGTGAAAACAATGTATACAAACTTTGTAAATAAACCAGTATTTTTTTTTAAATGACATCAAAAGACGTATTGCATTGGGCAAGTCCACTGTCAGGAACCTCTCCAAAATTCTTAAGAACAGTGATGTCAGTTTGAAGACTAAGATGCACCTGATTAAGACCATGGTCTTTTCAATTGCTTGCTGTGTGTTTAAGAGTTGCGCAATGGATAAGGATGACAGAAGAAGAATCAATGCCTCTGAGATGTGATATTGGTGAAGAGAACTGAGTATCCCATGGACTTCCAGAAGGACAAACAGATATATCTTGGAAAAAGTACAGTAAGAGTGTTTCTTGGAGGCAAGGATGGCAAAGCTTCATCTCTTATACTTTGGGCATGTTGCTAGGAGGGGCTTACCTTGGAAAGTATATCACCATCATGCTTGGGGAGCAAGACACTTAATAACATCGATTGACACAATGACCACAGCAATGAGGTCAAGTGAGTTGGAGATGTTAAGGATGGTACAGGATAGAACAAGGTTCAGATTTGTTGTTCATTGGGTCACTATGAGTCATGATTGATATGATGGCACCTAACAGCAACAACAACAGAGAGTTATAAGATGTTAATGAGATAATAAAGGAAAGATTCTATCACTTCCTGAAAATTCATTGTCATCAAATGACTTCTGGCTCAGAGCAGTTCTATAGAACGGAATAGAACTGTCTCATAGGGTTTACAAGACTGAAATAGTTTACAAAAGCAAACTGCCATGTTTTCCTTTCACAGATTGGCCAGTGGGTTTGAACTACCTACCTTTTCTGCTAAACAGCTGAATGCTTAACCACTGTGCCACCAGAGTTCTTCAGTCTCTGGCACAGTTTCTATTGTAAATATATGTTTAAGACCTTGTGCTTGTCATTTACTGCCATGCAGTAGTGTGGTTGTTCATACTGACATATGTAAATGGAAGGAGGACTAGATATATTGATTAGATAGTGAGTAGAAAGTATCAGAAGGTCTGCTATGGGTCTGGGGTCTCGGGTAGTGCTTGTTAACATATTCTGGGTGGTCTCAGTTAACATGCTTGGCTACTAAACAAAAAGTTGGATCTTTGAGACCACCAAGAGGTGCCTCAGAAGAAAGGCCTGGTAATGTGTTTCTGAAAAATCAGCAATTGAAAACCCCTTAAACACATTTCTCTTCTGATGGTTGAGGTCTCCATCAGATGGCCTCATTCTGTTATTAGCAAATTATCATAGTGAACCTATAATGGATTACTTTGATTTATGAAAGATTGAGTTCCCTGACACCTAAGTTTACAAGCCAAGGCTAAAAACCATCTGTCAGTAATGTTGAGTGAATATGCTCACTGGAGAGACTAGAAAAGTGATTTGAAGGAGTCTTCCAACTCTTTTGTTTTATAATATTTCCAGTCTGTGGGTTGAAGAAATCCACATTCATTTCACCTCCTCCAGTCCATATTGTAACCCTCCTACTAATTAGTTTGTATTCCACACATGTTTTGGAGATGCAGGGAGAGTTGCACGTGCATTGTAGCCTGTTCTCTTTTAGTGTCCTCCCGGCCTCCATCTTCCTGGGGATAAGCATGACTGGGTTAGTCACCTCCTCTCATTTCCATGTGCAGTGCTATCCTCTCATCCTACTTCTTGGGAGAGACTCTGAATCTGCTGGGGAAGCTGGGCTGTGTCATCTGTGTGGCCGGCAGCACCGTGATGGTCATACACGCCCCCGAGGAAGAGAAGATCACCACTGTCATTGAGATGGCTTCCAAGATGAAAGACACAGGTGGGCGCTGGATGAGATGGACGTGAGCAGGAAAGCTCTGGGGACGGGCCATGTGGGCGGGCTGATTGGGTTCTGTTCATCGCAGGTGCTGCCCAGCTGGGGGCGACAGCGCGCTGGGAAAAATGAATGAGCTGGTACTTGACAAGGCTGCCTTAAAGGCTCCCTGGTCTGAGATATATAGATATATAATTAAATATAGTTGTAGTTGTTGCGTACCATTAAGTTGAAACCAACCCATACCTGACCCTCCAATGGCTTTTCAGGGGCAGTAAATCACATGGGAGAAGATTGTCCAGTCTTCTCCCACGAAGAAGCAGACAGATTTGAACAATATGCCTTTGAAATTGCAACGTGGTCTCTTAGGCCACCAGAGAGCTAGATATAGATATATAGAGATAATTTATTATTTGCCTTGTGCTATTTTCAATGCTTTTAGTCCATCATTTCATTTAATCCTAAAAAAAAAAAAATCACCCTATGAGAAGGTGCTATTGTTCATACTATTTTATAGGTCAAGACATTTGCCCAATCCTTTTAAAATTTAAAAATTCCAAGCACTAAATACTAACTGCTAGTGCCATGGGTCTGGGACTTTATGAGAAGAATCTCTTCACGTGAAGCTCAAATGGTCTCTCCCTCCTTCCCGAAGGGTACATCGTGTTTGCTGTGCTGATGCTGGTGTTTTGCCTCATCCTCATCTTCGTCATTGCCCCGCGTTATGGGAAGAGGAATATCCTGGTTTACATCATCATCTGCTCTGTGATTGGGTCCTTCTCTGTGTCTGCAGTCAAGGGCCTGGGCATCACCATTAAGAACTTCTTCCAAGGGTTGCCAGTTGTGCGGCACCCCCTCCCCTACATTCTGTCCCTCATCCTGGCACTTTCACTCAGCACTCAGGTCAACTTTCTCAACCGGGCGCTGGACATTTTCAACACGTCACTGGTGTTCCCCATATACTATGTGTTCTTCACCACAGTGGTGGTTACCTCCTCCATTATCCTGTTTAAGGAGTGGCACAGCATGTCTGCCGTGGACATTGTGGGCACCCTCTCTGGCTTTATCACCATCATCCTGGGTGTGTTTATGCTTCATGCATTCAAAGATCTGGATATCAGCTCAGCCAACTTGCCTCACATGCACAAGAAACCAGCCCCAACCGCATCGCCCTCTCCAGAGCCCACTGTCATTAAATTGGAAGATAAGAATGTTCTTGTGAACAATATGGAACTCGCCAGCACCCCGTCTCCAGAAGAGAAGCCCAAAGTATTCATAATCCAGTCTTAAAGCTTGGAGTGCTCAAACATGAGGGAGAAGTTGAGCTCTATGGTACAGTTCGATGTCCCAATTTCAGAACCACCTCATTGGTTACTTTGCACAACTGTTACCAGTTCGCTGTCTCTCCTTGAGACTTTCATTTATACCTCATTGCTGTTTCCAGGAGGAAAAATCTCTTCCCTGTGAGGGCAGAGCTTTCTGGAAACACAGCCTCAGTGACCAAATAAACCTAGTTTACATTGGTGCCAGCAGGTCTCCGGGACCTTCCTTCCTACTCCCCCCACCACCGGTGCCATCTCTGGCTGCACATTGTTGGGAAGAAGATAGACATTGACCTGTTGAATGTAGCAGAGTCTGAGAACTTCCCTGGGATATTGGTGGTTGGAAAATCCTCAGCACCAGTTCTCCTAAAGAGATCAAATCATGGTTCCTGAGGAGCCCAAGGATAAGGGGGCAGCTGGTACCCAGATGCTCAAAGAAGGACTGGGTTGCCTCCCTGTCCAGAGATGCAACAAATGTAAAATTTCTTATTGTTTCTGCCACATCCTCTTTGGAGACACAAATAAGACTTAAGTTGATTTACTGTGAAAGCCATCTCAGGGAAAAATTTCAACGGGCCCCATCTCCCAAAAACAGCAGCCTGGAAGTCAGCACCATTGTTCCATCCTCTACATCCCCACTCCACCTCTCTCTTGGTGTCTTAGAGTCAGTTGCTGGGGTGTGCGCTCAAGCGTTGATCTTAGGAGTCCAAACTAAACACCACCACCAGCAGGTGCTTCGCAGCTGAGCTCCGCCGGCCAAATCAGTGTTTCATGTGGTCTCGCTCTGGAAAGAACAATAGCTTTGCTATTCAAATCAAGAATGACTTGACTATTGGGCTAGAATTTGCCAGAACATGCTTTCCTTTTCCTCAAGGAGTAAAACCAAAATATGATTTGGGGAAGTGAGAAGATGTGTGAAGAATAACATCAGGATTTGGCAGAAAGCAGGCACAGGCCCGCTGGAAACTTCTGTGTTTACTCTGGCGTCCAACCAAGAACCAGGCAAAGGGCTCTGGGGTACTTTCTGGCCTGCAGCCTCAGAAGCTCGGCTTATGCGGTCCATTTTGAGAGTCAGCGACTGCACAGATTTGGCATGAGATGTGTCTCGGCTGTTGACCACATTGCCATCTTGTCCCCAACTCTTCTGCTGAGCTGCCCACACTGGGTGGTAATGGGCTGTGATAGCTCCGACTTCCCCTCACATTGGACAAGATCAGCTGGAGAGAGAGAGAGAGAATTGATACCACTGCCCTTCCTATCTTCTGTCTAGCTGAGTGTGAGGGATGGTTCAGGGACCATTGAAAGAGGAGGTGAGGGAGCCAGAATAGCTGTAAAGAGGGAAAATTCGATCGTCAACCTCCCCTGAGCTGCCCCTTGCCTATGTTCTGTGTGTATACCCGCAGCCCTAAGCATAGCTAAACTCAGGGCCTAAGTGTTGCTGACCTTGGAGCTCCAGAAGCTCAGCTGACCAGCAGACAGGCTCCCCTGCACCTCCATCCTCAAGCCTTCATTTTAAAATCAATGTGGATTGTTGTCTGTGACCAAAATCAATGCAACATGTTTGTTGGATCTTGAGTAAGGAAATAAGCAGAAGGCTCCGAATGTGGCCTGCAGGGCCAAGAATAAAGACTTCAGAGTGTGTTTACTTGATATTTGCATGCAGAGGGATTAAATGGTGCTGGAGGGCTGGTCCTTGAAACAGATTCTCTTCCAGGCAGGGATGTTTGGGTGGGGACGGATCTTCAGCAGCAGCCATTTCAGCAGCCACTCATGTGTTACAGAACCTTTGGTTTCTTTAAAACCTCGAAAGCCAAACCCACTGGCATTGAGTGAGTTCCAGCTCATAATGACCTTCTCAGCCAAAACAAAACTCAAAGTCATTGCCATGGAGTTGGAACTGACTCATAGCTGACCCTCCATTGAGTTTATCACATGGAAGGAGATCACCCTATCTCCACCCTCAGAGCCGTTGGTGGATGAGAACCCACAGAGAGACACGGCCTTTGGATTAGCAGTGTGCCTCCTTGCAGACTAAGCCACCAGAGCTCCCTTTAAAAGTCAAAGTTACTTACCCACTCCACCACTGCCATGTTAATAGGTGGGGACACTGAGGAAAGGCTCTAAATCGTTATGGGGAGAGACTATTTCTTGCTTCTGTGGAGCAGCTGATGGATTAGAATCATTGGCTTTTTGGTTATCAGCGCAGTACTTAGCCTTTAGTGCCACCAGGGCCTGCTTGGTGTCCTTAGGCAACTTCCAGTGATAATCACATTTCAAAGACTCACTCCCAGGATTTTTGTGAAGCATAAGTGAGAAAACCAATAGAAAGGTGTTAATAAGAGTGCCTAACATGCATTAACTGCTCAGAATATGCTACTTCTGTTTGTAGACAGTATTCTATCTCTTACCAAAACCTCCATCTCTTATAAAACTTAGGCATCAAGTGAGGAAACAAAGGTGGTACCCTTTTGTGGGCCCTGACTCCCACACTCACTAACCTCGAATGCGTTGACTCACAGGACCCTTCTTTGGGTTTCGGAGGCTGTAAATCCTAATGGGAGAAGACTGCCCATCTTTCTAGATTCGAATCACTGGAGATGGAGCCTTGTAGTTACAGCATAACACACTACTGACTGCTCCTCCAGAACCCTATCTGTGGATTGCTGCTGTTGTGTGCCATTGAGTTGGAATGGACCCATAGCTGACCCTCCAGTGGGTTTTTTTTCTTTTTTTAATAGCCATCACCACTTTTATGTTTGTATGTTTTCACCACTTCAAAAAAGAAGTGCTTATCCATTAACAAGAATTTATTTCTTCTCAATCTTCCTAGCCCTGGGCAGCCACTAATCTACTTTCTTTTTCCATTCATTCATTGTTGCACTTTTCTCTCCCCCCCCCCCCCCCCGTTCCACTGTTCGCTCTTCTCTTGGAAAAGTAAAAGAAAAATTATTTCATTTTTATACAATCCCTCCCCTCAAGTCCACTCCACTATGCAGCCTTCGTTCTCGACTCCTGTCATGACAATAATACCTAATCATATATCCCTTTTAGATAGTTCTCTCCCTCATCTGTTTCAAAGCAGTATACATTATTTATCCTGTCTTTCTCAGTCTCCCCCCAACCCCAATGTCAGTCCCATTTTACAATAGTGGCACTATGCAGTATTTGTCCTTTTGTGACTGAGACATTTCACTCAGCATAATGTCCTCCAGGGTCACCCATTTTATATAATATTGCATGAGTTCCTTGTTCTTTATTGTTGCATAGTATTCCATTGTGTGACTATACCAGAGCTTCTCTATCTATTTGTTTGTTGATGGGCACTCAGGTAATTTCCAACTCTTTACTATTGTGAACAAAGCCAAGATAAGCATGAGTGTGCATATGTCCACTTGGGTGGCAGTTGTGGTTTCTTTAAGGTATATTCCCAGTAGTGGAATTGCTGTGTCAAATGATATTTCTATTTGCAACTTTCTGAGAAAGCGCCATGCTGCCTTCCATAGTGGTTGCACCGTTCCTCCAGTGGGTTTTCAGAGGCAGTTAATCACAGAGGAGATTGTCCATCCTTTTTCACACAGAGCAGCTGATGTATTCAAATCTAGTGCCTTTGAGATTGTAGTACAGCTTCTTACCACTAGGCTTTTATGGAGCGCTCTTTGTAGATTGGGAAGCACTAAATGAATGACAACTGTGTTACTACCAAAGGGCTAGCTTATTGGAAAGCACACTAGCTCCTAGTCTGTCCTCCCAACCTTGAATATATGGTGGGCAAATTGTGCTCTTTACAGAACATAAACTTAGCAACATGTTAAGGTGAGCAAAGGGGTCTCAGATCTCTTCTAGGTCCAATCATGGTGTTGTCAGGTGCTATTGGTCTAGTGTCAACTCACAGCAAACTCATACAATAGAACGAAACTCTACCTGACCCCCTCCGTACTCACAATCTTGACTGTGCTGAAGCCCAGTCACTGTGTCAATAGAGTCAGAAAAGTTCACCAGTGAACTTCAGGGTTGTTTTGTCTTTACTGATCTAAGTTGTAATGAAAAGAAAGCTTCTTGTGTCCAGGTGAAAAGGGAAACAACCCCCTCTACTGGTAATGGAAATATGGGGGTTTTCTCTAGCTGAAATGAGTCCTAATGGGTCTAGTAGTTAGAGGTTTGAATTCACCAGCTATTCTGAGGAAGATAGATGTGGCAGCCTAATTCTATAAGCATTGTCATTGTTGTTATGTGCTGACTAGTCGGAACCAACTAGTAGCTGACCCTCCAGTGGGTTTTCAGATGTTGCAAATTGCACAGGAAGAGGTTGGCCATCTTCCTCCCCGGAGAAGCTGATGGCTTCAAGTCACTTGCCTTTGAATTGGCTGTGCAACTCCGTAACCACTAGAGGTCAGTGTAATCATCACAGCTTTGGAAACCCTCTGAGGCAGTTCTGCTCTGTCCTCTAGGGTCATTGAGTGGAATAAACTCAACAGAAATCAAATGGATTTTATTTTTGTGGGTTGTGGTTTTTTTTTTCTACAGTGGATAGCCAGCACCAGTTTCTGTTAAGTTGATTCTTTAAGGGAAGACATAATGCAGTCACTGAAAAAGATAAAAGACTACAGATATATGAGTTACATACATCTCAACACTGAGAAAACAAAATTTCTCAACCCTGGATGAAGAGCCATCATGACAAATGGTAAAAAGATTGAAATTATTAAAGACTTCAGTTTACTTGGATCCACAATTAAAACTCATGGTAGTAAAGAAATAAAAAATGTGTTACATCTGCTGTCAAGGACCTGTCCAAATGTTAAAGAGTAACAATGTCAGTTTAAAGTAAGCCTGAAGGAAGTCATGATTTTCAATTTCTTCATATGCATCTGAAAGTTTGACAATGAGTAAGGTTCAAAGAAGAATAACCATTGCCTTTAATCATGGTGCTGGAGAAGAGTAGCTGAATATCTTATGGACTGCTGAAAG